AACATGATTAACGTATATTTGTTTGCAATGGACAATTTAGGGTTAAGGTTCAGCATCATCACTTTCTGGGTCTAAGCTGTTGCCGCAAAAATTGCCAGTACAATTCCTGCAACATGCAGTGCATTTGAGCCCCGACTTCCTACAGCTACAAGAATTAGAACACGTTTCTTTCCAACCGCAAAACAGCATTTTCAAAATGAGATCCAGTCCACAGGGTTTTTCCATTCTTACGGGCTCCAAGACATTGTTTCGATTCGTAAACCAGGCAAATTCTTTAGGGTTCAATTCCTCACCCATCCAATTCTGGACCTGTAGATACACCCGTCTCAAATGTTATCTAGCAGCATGCGATGTAGAAGGTAATGTTGCTAGCTCGAAATTGGTAAAGAGATTCTGCCTTGCCACGACTTGGTTGTACTTGATGTACCGGTAGTCATCGAGCGTTTTGCATTTTTTGGCACCGTACCACTTCAATATAAATGCTTCTCCTTGTTTGAGAAGCTCGTCCATTCGGTAGTTATTTGAAAATATTGCCCCAGGAGGGGGCGGTAAACTAAAATATGGACTGAAAATTGTTGAATCGATAAAGAATAATTAGTCTTTGACTCTTTGGTCTATAAAGTTCCAATGAATTTCGCCTATCGGAAATATCGAATTATTCGCGAAGTTATTCGTGTATAGTGCGATTATTGATACAATAAAAAAATCATAACTCCCTTAGTTTCCAATCGATTTCGAGAAATAAAGAATCATTGGATTCGTATTTTCAAGCTTCACAAATTCCCTTTCCTAACTTTTTCCGAAAAAAATAATAAATACAAAGTTATTAGCAAAAAACGTGAAAATCCAAGATGGCGGCTCAATTTTCAGGATGTTCCGCACCTCGGACATATGGGGACTTTTAGTATGTTGAAGAGCATTATTGGTACTACTAATTTCGGACATCGGTTGCTTGTCCGAATTTGTTCTAGGTTTGACCAAATATTACTCTAATTTTACTCGACTA